CCTCGACCAAGGGAAAGTCATCCTCTCTGTAGGCTTCTTCTTTTACCTCCGGGGCCTGGGATTCCTGAGGGCCAGTCTTAGCACTGAAGACTGAAGCAAAGAAGGCATTCAGTAGCTCTGTCCCTAGCCTTCCTTTTGCTGCTGATGTAATTGAAGAAGCCCTTCTTGTTGTTTTTGACATCCCTTGCCAGCTTCAATTCCAGGTGGGCCTTGGCCTTCCTCGTCGGATCCCTGCATGCTCTGACCACATTCCTGTACCCTTCCCAAGTGGCCTGCCCCTCTTTCCACATTCCATGGAAGCAGTAACAGTTGTTTTAAAAGTGGACGTCTAGCTGTGAACTGGTTATAATTTCACTGTTTTGGTGGAAATCCTTTCAAGCTGATAAGACAGATACTTATGCTTGGACAAACCATTTTTTCCAGTTTGTCTTTTGACAGCTGTACAGAATTTTAGTTAAAACTGTTTTTGACAGAAAAGGATAGAAAAATAGCGTCTCATATTTGCGGGGAGAAGAAATCGTGGTCATCTTTGTCTCTTGTAAACTCAGATAAGACTGAAGAAAAATCTACTTGTTAGCTTCAAAGCGATAAATTATTATAAGCAACTTAGGGAGCATGACCTGTATTTAAGATTTTTTTTTTTAATCCTTTCTACTGTGTGATCCTGTTTACTGTTACATTTTACTCTCTTAAATGTAAACAATTCTGAATTGTATTTTCTGAGCTAGCAGTTTGCCAAAAGCGGAATGAATCTTAAGAAGTTAGATATTGTTAATATCTGTATGGATATTGAGGATATTAATCTAGTTAAATATATTGCATTGCTCAGGGTGTGTAGTAGGAGAGGAAAGGGGTCTTTTGGCTTTGTTTGTGTTTCAATGACCATTTCATGGAAAAACTCCAATTCTTCCTGTCTTTAGGAAGGAAATAAAAAATTATCTGCGGATGGTCATTCCCATTATCAGGGTTCTTTTTTTGAGCTAGAATGCTTCTAAACGTGTGTTGTAGACAAAAATACAAAGTAAGTTAAGTTAAAAATACCCTTAAAACTGGTTTGGCATTTTATGTCTGTTCTTTTTAGGTACGCAGGCAACAAATATGAGACAGTCCCTTGTCTGTTAACACCTAGGGTTGAAGGATAAAAGAGCAGCATTTTGTTCAAAGCCATGTGTTGTGAATAATCAGAGTTTTTCACAGCAAGTAAATAGCCTTGGAAGATGGAGTCCTGACTCCTTGTGAAGGAAGGAGCTGTTTCCAATTACCACCTGTTAATCATAACTAGGAAGTTATTTCATGTACAGTTCTCTTACGTAGCAAATTTCTGATGAATATCTGTCATGCTGGATTGTTTCTGCTATGAGATGTATGTACTAGTAAAAAGAATGGAGTTATTACTGCATCCTGAGAAAATTGTTGCAAAACTCCGCTACCTGTGTACTGTGGCTGTTTTGGTGGTTAGATATTAATGAAGTTACAAAGCTGTGTTTAAAATTGAGAACCCAGCTGGATTTTGGCTTAAGCATTTGTAATGCTGCTGATGTATCATTTCTCTGAGTTAATACAGTGAATGGAGGAAGTCAACACTTTTTCCAAATCTGCTGTTGTAAGTGGTTAAATTGCCCCATACACATTCTCACTGGGCTGGAAAATAAAAAGATTTGATTGAGCAGGCATAGGACAATGAATATAATAAGTAGGTGGTTAAGCTTCTATTATGCTTCCATAAAGGTAGTCAAGTATATTAATTTTTTTTGCCCTGGAAAGAAAAACTTAAGGACAGCTACTGTATTTGCATATCGTATCTATTTCCTTTGTAACTTCACCTGCAGGTGTCTGCTGTATTTAGTGCTAGTAAAACTAGGTATATAGTGACCATTGCAAAGAAAAATCTGTTCTTTTAAACATTTTGGACCTTACATTATATTTTATTGGGCCTTTTTATTTTTTATTGAATGGGGATGCCTTTTCTGGTGTCATACATACTTAAATTCCAATGAAAATTAAAAGTGGCATTTTCTTGTGGAAAAAATGTGTTTTTATTCTGCTTACAGCTGCAGAATATATTTCTGATAACTTTTGTGGTTTTTTTTTTTTTTGGCAGTTGTACTCGCTAAATGATTACAAGCCACCCATTTCTAAAGCGAAAATGACACAGATCACCAAGGCAGCAATCAAGGCTATAAAGGTAAGAAATCGGCTAACTACTTTTGACTTCTTTTCCATTTCTCATCTGTGTCAAAATAACAGAATAGCTTAAAGAACTTGCTTCAGAACTTGCCACCTCCCTTCTGTGTACAGTTTCCGAGTTACAATCAAACATGATAGTGATAGGATTTTCAGGAGTGCAGCAGGAGGCATAATTTGTTGTCTGACTTTCATTTGCTGGTTGTCGTATGTGAGGAAGAATTAAAGCAATTTTTCTCTTTAATCAGATTTGGAAGGCAGGGTTTTTTTCCTCAGTTTAGAAAGAAAAAACTGACATTACCTGAAAACAAATGAATAAATATAAAACTACAGTTACACCCCCCACATTGTAAGATATGTGTGCCTTTGGATCAATAGAATTGTTTAAGTTTTATTTCATTTTTGTAAATTCCTAGCATACCTTTTCATGAGCGGTGTTCATAGCTTCTGTTTTTTGTATTGCTTGGATACAACTTGTTCATAAGTTTTAGCATTAGTACACTAATTAAAGACTTTTCTTGCCTGAAGTAAAACTAATTGCCAAACAGCAATGGAGCAGGAGGAAACAGCACTGAAAAATTGTGAAGGAAAGAAGCATGCCGCTCATGTTAAGCATTAAAATAAATGGGAACTCAGTGAAAGCTGGAGAGGTGAAAAAGAGGATAGGATAAAAGCAAAAAAGCTATGAACTTATGTTCTTCCTATCTGCGTTCCTCTGCTGAGAATGCAGATAATGTTTTCAGATAATGAAATCCGTATTGGTGTTTTATGTACTTTGGAGAGAGAGCAGTTTGGTGACGGAAGACTGGAATTCACTGTCTTTATTAGATAAGAGAAGTCTGCAACTGGAAGTCTATGTGTTGCAGTATAATAAAAATGCTAAAAACGTGTATTGAACATAAACAAGTAGTAAATGATAGTAAATGGTTCTACATATTAAACAATTAAATGATACCAAAAATTTTTATAATGTATTTCACTTGAAAATCCTGTTTCCACTCTTACCATTTCAATAACAACATTAAATTATGTAGAGCAGTTATTGACATAATATAGAGCCATTATATGATATGCGAGATTTAAAAAACCACAACAGGCCAATTTTAGAGAAAAAGTATTCAGTAGATGTTATAAGGTCTTCCTATACTCGTGTTTTTAGGTTATTAAAGTGCACACTTGAAATTAAATACAGGGAAGTGCTATGCTTACGAACATTACTCTAACATCTTCAGTCATGTACAATGAAATAACCATAAGTTATTGAAGGAACAATTGTATTATTTTCTTAGTTCTCACTAAATAAGCACACAATATTTAAAAAAATCCAGTGTAAGAAACCTTCAGAATTTAAGGAAAAGTGAGATTAGCTTTTTAATATGCTGTTAAATGTTCTGAGGAAGACAGCATACTCAGCTGTAGGTATAGGATTGCTGGTTAATCAACCCAAGTTTGTAATTCTGGTTTTACTATCAATATTGCATGACTTGGACAAGCATATACATCTTCATATTTTTCTCTTCTATTGATTTTTTTTTTTTTTCTCTTTCTTTTTCCAGTTCTACAAGCACGTTGTGCAGAGTGTTGAGAAATTCATTCAAAAAGTAAGTCAGTCATGGGTATTTTGTGTTAGTGCTGAGAAAAATTTCCTCACTTTGAGTTACAGAGTACTGCAGACCGTCAAGTTTTAGGTAACACATATGGATTAGTGTGTTTATCACAAGTTAGTTTATTTCCGGTTTTAGTAACATACAAGTTCTGGTAGTAATCAGTAGCTGATCATAACCCATGATGCAGAAAGACAAATAATTTGTCCTCATTTTGTAGTTACAATATGCTTTGATCTGAATGACTGTGGATACTGTCTTAGAACTACTCCTGAATGTACTTGTTTAATGTTAAAAGAGGCTGTCACTGTAGCCCAGGTGAACAGCTAACAACAAAAGAATTGAGAGTGGTTTGGTGAGCGACGGTTGCTTTTGCTTTTCTGCCGGGTTTTCCCCTGGATTTTAAAAGCTGAAGGGAAGATGTCCATTCAGCCTTGTCTCTTTTGTAGCAGGAGATGTGGTATTTCAGTCGGTGGTTCTTGTTAGTAATGTAAACCAAAAAATATTTATATGGCTAGACTGGAATTATTTTTTGGGAGGATGCAGTATTAATGTAAAGATTCTAAATAATAAAGAATTTTATTGCATTTTGTTTTCTTGCATCAGTTAATTATTGTTGGGTAAAAGTGCATTTTGCCTCCAGTTGGACATGCATGGATTCAGATCTGGGCGTCTGTCCTGCTTGTCTGCATAGTACCTTATTGTTGAGTTGATCATTTTAGTACTGAATTTCTTCTTTTGTAAATAGGAATAAATTATGATCAAATTACCTTTTTATTTTGTCAAACAAGCTAGAGAAGTTAGTCTGTTAATGTTGCAATGTTGGATGCAGTTTTTCTCGTGTTGTCCATTTTATGAAGCAGTCTAGATTGCTCTGTGTTGGTAACCTGTCCTCCTCATTACCTTTTATTCCTTGCCCAGGGTGCCTAGGGTATGCTGCAGTGACTTCTGGCAGCAATTGGACAGTGTAAACAGGGTTTAGCTTCAGCCTGCTGTTTTTAGTTGACTCGGAACAGTTCGTGAATGAATTATTTAGGTACTAGAACATCAGTCGTGTGTGGAAAAGATGTCATATGTGTGTTTCATGGCAGTAGTAAAGACTAGTAATTACCATCACTGCTAGTGTTTTGTCAAGTAGTGATCTTTTGGGGTGTTGCCTCTAACTCTTCCACCTCTAAGATCAGGGATTAATATCCTCTGATTCCTGTTTAATACTACAGGTGGATATAGGAGGACGAGAGCAGATGTACATCTTATCCATCTCTGGTCAGTAGCACTTCGCAGTTTCGTGTCCTGAAATTAATCTGGAATTGTCCAAGTTCCAAATACTGTTTTTTAGTTGCAGTGGCCGTGGTTGGAAATTTTATATTAAGAGGCATGAGAGAAGGTTTGTCCTCTGAATGAAAGTGTGCCAGTTTGTCAGGAATTGGATCGGTTGTTAGTGACCCTTCCACAAACTAATAACACACTTGCGTTTGGTGTCCAGTATTACTTGATGAGGGAGTTCTTCACTGTTCATTGCTGATTAGAGAAGGCAGATGTATGTTGTTCTTGATAACCTTGTTAACGATCACTCTGGATGAGGTGTTTCCCTTTGATGGGCTGGATGTGTTTTTTTCAGTATTTCGTGAACTATTTAGTGAAACACACAAATTATTAATAACATCAAATACTAAGCTCTTATTTTAGTAGAATTGGAGATAAGCAGATGAAAGTTAGCCATTTGATGTATATGGACCTAAATCGTATGTTTAGAAGATAATTGGATTATTTTTCTGGAAGCAGTCACTTCAAGTTAAAGCTCAAGACTATTGAATCTTCCATTAAGATCTGTCATAGACTTGTCCAGAGTGATGTCAGTGCCATCTCAGTTAGTTTACTGTTGATTCCATACTACTAAAATATTTTCTTTTTTCAAAACTAACCTCGTGAGGTTGCTGAAACTTCAGATGGAATAGGTGCCCATGACATTCTTGTTTTTTGTGACACTTAACTCTCTGATCTATTGTTGTTTTGGCTGTTTTATTCTCTGGCAAAGCATCACTTCAGGGGTCAAATGACCACAGTTCACCTATGTAAGGATATTCCACTGTGAGAGCAAGACTTGAATAATTTGAGTAATTGAATTATCTTATTACTTAGACAAACTGAGAGAATAAGTGAGTATTTGTTGTGTAAAAGCTGTCTCATCTGAGATCAGGGATACGCAGGCTTACTGCCCTAGTTGTAATTCTTCTTTATTTAATTTTTTACTTGTATTTTACAGTCTTTTGTTTTTTATCATCTGTACTATTATATTAGTTATCATACTTTGCTTTCTGTTTGTGCTGTGTTTTGAAATACTCCACCTATTTGATTAGTTTTCATATTAAGTATTTGTGGGTTTTATTAATCTGCATATTGTGAAAAGTTGTATACCTGTCCGTTCTGTAGGCAAGATAATGTTATTTTTGGTAATAATTTAGCTAAAATTTCAGTAACTACAATACACTGAAGTGATTCTCTGAAGACTGTATTATATCCAATTAGATTTTGATTTTGTAAGTTTAGTAATACATTTATTTTTAAAAGGAGGCCACACACATACTTAAAAATAAAGAATGCAATATTTAAATACACTGAACCATGTTTGGAGCCTAAATAAAGGCTTTATCAAGGTTGCAAATGTTAGGAAATCAGCGCTTTTCAAAACAGCAAGTTTGTGTCTAGGCTATAATAAAATTAATAGTCTGAAAAGTTTGTTTGGTACTGTATTAGAGATTATGAATTTGGTGTATTGCATAGTATGTTTATAGACTGTCTGTTCCAGAGAGGGAATGGCTGTACTTTCCCATGTTTTCCGTAGTACCTTGTGTGATAAGTGTGTACAACCAAAAAATGTTCATGAAGTGAATTCATGTCACAGTATATTCTGGCGATGATTTCATTATATTTTTGTACCACTTTTCATTCTGTCCTAAAACTGGTTGCAGTAGTCCAGTGCAATTACTTTGCAATTAAAAAACAAAAATGTTAACTTTAGTTGTTAAGTAAGTAAAGTTACCCAAGTAATTAGTATTGTAGTTAGCAGATATCTTTCATAAATATCGTGCTGTTTGTAAATTATGCACATTTTCTAGAGTTCTAAAATAAGTACCGCTGGTATATTCTCAAATCAAGCAGATGTCCACATAAATATGTTTTTGTTCTGTGAGGGGGAGGATATACCACACACTAATTACAACGATGTCAAATAAAGTAAACAAATGTTAACTTTAATGTTGACTTTGATTATAAAGAAGGACAAAAATATTTTTAATTATATTTACAGCTAGTCCCAATATACTATTAAGAATTTGGTCGTGCTTTATGCTGTTCTCTTGAAACAGATGTGTACATTTAAAAAGGATATGTCGTTCATGTTCTAATTTTTAATAGCTAATTCTAAAATGTTAATTTTTTTTAGTGGTAGGAAATGGATTTTAAACCATTTAGGTATTTGCAGAATACATATAGATGTGATAATTTGAATATTAAAGGTTAGCTATTTTTGAGAGAGTTTCATTTTTCAGGACAATTTATTAAATAGAGAACATTTTAGTAATACTTGGACCCATTTAAAAGTTAAAAGGACTGTTCATATTTACTCTGCTATTAATGTTTTTTGTGATTTTTTTCACATATGAATGTTTTAAATTTTCGTTCTTTGTAGTGCAAACCAGAATACAAAGTACCTGGTCTGTATGTCATTGACTCCATTGTGAGACAGTCCCGGCACCAGTTTGGCCAAGAAAAGGATGTATTTGCTCCAAGATTCAGCAATAACATCATCAGCACTTTCCAGAACTTGTACCGTTGTCCTGGGGATGACAAGGTAAACCACTTACAGATTTTTCTAATTAAAACAATCTTTAGTATTTTATCTGTAAAGAATAAAGATTTTGATCTCACTGTCTGCTTGCTAGAGTGGACCGAATTGTAGACTTACACATTTATATGTATTTCTTTAATTTTGCTTGTCTGAGTGTAGGGCTGGGGGAACTACACATTGAATTAGATTAATTACGCTTCTGAAAGGTTTTCAGGAAGACTGAATGGATTTGAGTTAATGTATTTTAATGTAAAAAATTAAGCAGGCATGTAGTAGGACAGGAAGTTGTAGCTGTTTTTCATTGTCTTCTTCCCCTCTTCAGTGAGAAAATGAGCGAGCAGGTTTTGTGCAGTGCCGAGGAATACCTTTCTTGGTAGCAGTATCTTCAGTACAAGCTAGTGTGTTTTGGACTCAAGGAGCAATAGAAAACCAGCAAAGTATCTTACAAGTTATCTTTCCTTGATACTAAATCAACCAACAGCTGAAGAAGGCCTAACTTCAATAGTTTGACCCAGTAGTTCAACTGTTGCCTTGGACCACTGTAGTTAGGATGAGCACCAAATTATAATAGGTTGACTGGAGATAGCAGAGAGTGCAGGCAGTTTAACTTCCTTCGTATTTGTCACTGATCTTACAATAGCTAGAGTTTCTTCCTGAATTGAAAAATTACAGAAAGATGGGAAATGCTAAGGGCTTTATAGCCACATAAATTTGTGTAATAGAGTCATTAAGTGAAATAGTAAGCAGGGCAGGAGATGGCAGGAAGAGACAAAGACAGGTTATTCTTTGAATAGTCATGTGCATTCCTACAACTGTGTTTCTGAGCCAAAGATCTGAAAACCCAAGGCATCCATGAAAGGTGGTTAAGACAATTTCAGCCATTGCGAGTGTGCAGTAGCGTAGGATTCCTGCCTTTTTAGAGGAGTTAGGACCTCTGCAGGAAAATGTCGGGATCTGCAAATTTTAAATGTTTGTCTGCTATGGATGTCTGTCTTCTCTTCTGCAACTGAGTTCTGAGGTGCTGCTGACATCTAAGTTAAATGGCATTTTTCAAGTCTGATTTTAGGTTATCTGCATGATAAACTTGTGCTGCTTCGATTCCACAGTGTTTTATGTATATATAGGCATGATAGTTAACTTCTATTTTTCTTCATTTAGTTGTATTCCTTAAGCAGTATTTGTTTTGTATAATCATTTAGCTTACTACTCTAGGAAATACACTAACACAGAAATAGCCTGACTTGTTGAAGAGGGAGAGCCAGCACAAGGATGGGTTCGAGTACTCAATTTGTGTCTGACTATAAGAAAATTATAGTAAATTTATTGTAGGATAAGAAATAATGCCACTTATCCTGTGATATTTTAGTGCATGGCAACTAACGTATCATATTAGAGGTGTTTCATGTGAAGAGGGGCAGTAAAACATAGTCTGTTTATGGTATTTAAAGCTCCTATCAGGTTCTTTGCTAGGATATTTTTCACTTTAGTTGGGGAAAATGCGTTTTGTAATCTGAAGTCTTACTGCTGTGTTGCATATAGGAAAGTCTTTGTGCTGTGAAAGTAGTTACCATATATCTGACTCAGCAAAAAGTTGTGCTGTCAGCAATAACAAGATATGTACCTGTTTTCTAGCATTTTGAGGTTGAACATGACTAGAAGGCAGAATGGAGAAACACAACAGTTACCTTTATATGAGCAAATGTGGGCTTTGTTTTGTTTTTGAATCAAGCAGAAGTACAGTAGCATTTCATTTAAAGTAATTCCCCCACCCCCACCCCCCCCCGATTCCTTCGTCTGGCTCAGCCCTGGGAAGGGCAAGGGGGAGATAGATACTGAGGCACAGAAATACTTCTGTATTCCTGTTCTGGATAGAAAAGGGAAGTTAGAACCTCTGATAGACTTGTCAAGGACTGCCTTATAAAACAAACTTTCAGAGAAGGAAGGCTTGCGTACTTTAATGTTGAATGGAAGCCTTCAGAGATTTTGTCAGAGGACTCTAAATTACATCTTCTGTGCAGTGGAAATTCAGCACTGCTTGACTATTAAAGTCAAGTATACTCTTGGAGTTCTGGCCAAACAGACTTTTTTTCCTTGGGTTTAAACACCGTGGTTAAGTGCTCTGTGATCACATTTTATGGAATTGAAATAATTAAACCATCTTTGTGACAGAAAACACAAAACCCTTTGAAGAACTTTCTGCTCTTTATAATACAACTAACTTTTCCCCCCGCCCCCCAATAAGCAAGGTGTCTTTTTCTATCACATATATTTCTATCCAACTTTTCAAATAAAGCAAAGTCTTGCCTTTCGGTAGAAGTGAAGCTTAGAAAAGAAAATATTGGGGAGCAAATCAAAACAGTGGAATAGAAATGTAATAGAAACGCAAGCGAAACAGTGAGTTACATCTAACGGAATTGTATGAAGTCTTAATTTTGATTTTTTTTCCTTCCCCATGATCCACATTTTTTAATATTCCTGTGTAATTTCAATAGACAGGGAATTGTGTTCTAGTTTAAACTTTTAAATTCCTCACTTCTCCAAGAGAGCTTGCAAAATACGGAGCTATAGTCATAATAAAAGTATTTAGCAGTCTTATTAGTATATGCTCATTTTTCAGTGGACATAAATAAGTTTGGTTCATAGGTAGATCAGAATTGCATTCATATACATTGAGTATAGAAGTTTAGGAGACTAATAATTCCTTGTTTTAATTATTACTAACGCTTTAAAATGCTTCCTTAATATAATTTTCCTTCCATGCCATCTTCCAGGAATAAAGGTACAAAAGAGCCAGATACATTTGTTTTTAATATATTTAATCTTCTGCGGGGAGAAGACTGTTATTATGTAGCCTAGGGTCAGCCACAGGTTCATAGCTTAGATAGATTTGGTGTATAACAGTGTAACTGTTTTTATGGTTCCTATTGTTTATAAACCTAAGGGTGCTTCAATCTAGACAGATTGACATTGCTAGCTAAGAATTCCGTAACTGATAATAGCAAGAAAGATAAGCATGACTCAGGTCTTTTGTTATCCTTTCTTCATTTTAGAGTAAAATTGTTAGAGTGCTAAATTTATGGCAGAAGAATAATGTGTTCCAGTTGTGACCCCTGTCTTGCCCAGCACTACAGCTGCTATGAGCAACAATACACCAGGTAAACAAATACGGGTTAAAATCATACTTTAAATCAAAAGACTTGTGTCAGCCTTCGTATGTTGGCTGTTAACATGCTGAAAAATCTCACTGATTTCTTTTAGACAAATCAAGTGAATGCCAGAAAGAAACATATTATAGCCAGCATCTGGATCAGGGAAACAGCAAAAGCAAGAGGCAGCCTGTTGTGTTTACTTTCCAACTGTATATTATAAATATATTCAGATTGAGTAACAGTGCAATAAGACCTAGTTTTGCACTTGAAAGTCAAAACAGTAGATCACTGACATAGTTAAAAACCCAACACAGCACTTAATGTAATCTTTGTTAATTAGTGGTGCCACAATTGAGAGAAATGAAAGAGAATACATCAGTATCTTTTTGCTATTAGTAGGATTGAGCTTGCTGTATAATGTCAGACAGTCCTTCTTTACTTTTGCTGGCGACAGACAATGACTTCAAGGGCAAAATAACAGATGGACAATATAAGCTGCAGCCAGTGACGTACTTCCCTCTCCCTCAGATCTGAAGTATGTGGGCCAGAAATCATGCTGGACAATCATGTCGGCAAAAAACTGCTTGTGGAGTATGTCCCAAGTTACCAAGCACTAACATCATTGTACATGTAGACTTAATAATTTTGTGCTCTAAGCATCTTCCTTACTTATGTAGGTAGATGGCAGAGAACTGGCTTTTCAATTTTTTTGTTCTGTGGAGATTTTTTCATTCAAGGTTGGGATGTATGGGAAATTTTACGTATAGAAAGTGGGTTTTGGCACACACAGAACTGCTTTTGTCACCCACTTTTTGCTGATCCCATGCTGAAAAGCAGTGAGGTGGACAAATCCACTGTATTTTTCTTCGGTGTCTGTAAATGTGTGAAAGTTCCAGCTTTTAATTAGACTCACTGCATCTTCTAGTTCAATATTTTTTATTTTCATTAATTTGATTACTTTAAATTGTTAAATACATAGCTTTACTCCAATGCTTTTTAGAATTCTGATGCAAATTGTCTTTTAAGACAGTAATCTAGGCATCTACATTTAGCGTTCATTGGCATACCTCCACTTCTGAGCTAAAAGCAGAGTATTTGCAGGGATGCAGGATTCTTCTGGATTATGCCATGAGATTAATTATCAGATAGTTGGTTTAATCTCAATGTTCTTCTTGAGAAAAAACGATAAAATGCGCAATCCTCATGAATCCAGCTGCTGCAGGTTGAAATTTCTGGTAAAATCCTTAAATTTTCTCCTGGGGATAAAGTGCAAGTCCAGTAAGTTTGGACTAACAGACGTTTCTGAGTAGATTGCTAACAATTATTATTTAGTATATATTGTTTCCATTAAATAGTTTAGATTACTGTGTGAAACCTATTTATTTTGCATTTGTCAGTGTTTTTCTTAGTAGTCCCCAAAGGGCAGTAGCCAAAAGAGCTGTGAACTACACTTACACAAAGTAATCCTGCTACTTGAGGAATGTTGATATGAGTCTGTGTTATTTGTGTGTGCTCTACATATGTGTCAGAAAAAAAATTTGAATTGATGGTAATTCAGTCCTTTCTCAGTATTTAATAACAGCAGGGGTTTTTTCCTTCTCTAACACGATTTCCAAGTCTGTATGTTAAAATACTTTGGCATATTGGATTTTCTCTTTTTTAGGAACACCTGTGACTCCAGTTACTCCAGCCAATGTGGTGCAGAATTTACCTGATCCTTGGGTATCTCAGATTGCTAATACAGATACCCTTGCTGCTGTTGCGCAGATTTTACAGAGTCCTCAAGGCCAACAGGTAAATATTTTGTAGACGGTAACACTGTATGCTGTTTGATACTTTGTGTCTTTAAGATGCACTTACGGAATAGTGCTTTCATGAGTATCTCTTAGTTTTGTGTCCAGTATCCATAGTAACTATCCCATGAGGTTGTTCATCACAAGTAAGTTCCAGGTAAACTAAAATTTCCTGTTAACTTTTGTAACCAGCCCTGTTTGTTCCTGAAAATTATCGCAGAATGTGACTTCAGATGAGATGGTCTGTAATACATACTTTTGTTTTCTGTGTAGTATTGCAGATGACTATTATCAAGAGCAGCATTAAGATTTCATGGATATAGGTATAAAATAGAATGCCAGTTTAAGTAGATTTCTCTGTTGGATGCCCCGAGAAGCTGAGCATTGTACAGAATTATATAATGGGAACGTACTCATTCTGCAGTTGCATTGTGTGTGGATTCTTTTATCTTTCCATTAGCTGAATATAGTTTTTATTTTGCAGCATTCAAAAATAAGGTCTTAGAAGTGACTGTGTTCCTCAATTTCTAAATGCTCAACTCCAAAAAAGTGGCTCGATGTGCAGCATCTATTGAATTGCTTGTCCTCTTAACCCGCAGCCACATAAGTTAAGCACACACAGTCAACTTTCTGTAAAAATGTAGATCATAATTTTTCAGTTTGTGCTAGAACTCTGGCACCAGCATAACTATGACATTATAATTTTTATTTGGATTGAGGAATAGGATGTTTTACTTGCCGAGGTACTAAACAAAAATCCCATGCGTGTGAATGAGAAACAGTCACCAGTGAACTGTTACAAAGCACTGATGCTGAAAATAACAACTTTATTTAGTGAGATTGTTTTATAGTGTTCAGCAAAGCAGAATCATCTGTAATTGTTCATAAGTCAAGTGGAGGGAGTATTTTCATCTGATTACACTGAAAGAAACTGATGGGTCATTGAAAAGCAGAACAAAATGAGTTTGTGGGATACGTTGTGAAATGTGGGGGAAAAATGGTGGAATAGCTCTTAAACAAGGAGGGGACATGAAGTAAGAATAGGAAATAATAGAAAGTCAGTAAGGTAATTTTAAAGATTATTACCTAGAGCGTCTTCTGAAAAAAAAAAGGATGAAGCAAAAGAGGGGAATTACGGTTTTAAAGACAGCATATCACAAAGAAACAACATTTGGATATTTAGCTCAAAATGGTAAAATGAGGAAGAGAATGTATTTTGGGGGGGGAGAGGATGATCTTAAGCAGAATATGTATGTGCAGATCTCTAGGATTGGTAGATGAAGTGCAACATTTCCTTTCATCCTGTCCATCTCTTTTCTTCCTGTTCTCCAAGCCACTCCCTCCCCTGCCCATCCCCCGGCTTCAAAGTCCTTGATTTCATTTTGTGTTTTGTGGGTGAGAATGCATGCAGGTAAATCGAGAGTCTAGACATACGAGAGGGCAAAGTAAGAAAGATATGACCAACAAGAATGTGAAGACGGCTAGAACGGTGACCACCCAGGATTTTCCTGCTCTAGGGCTTCCATCTCTGCTTCTGCAGTTTGATTCCTTCCTACTCAGAGCAATGCATGAGGTGTACCAGCCATATTTGCTCATCTGTTGTGGATCGGCCAAGAAGGGAGGGGGGAGCTCTTCAGCTTTGCCTATTGCAGTCATCAGTGAAAGCTCTTGGTGAGGTAGAAAAATAACTGAAGCATTTTCAGAGGCTCTGCTGTATAAGGAGTCTGTATAACTGTTTTTTTAAAGAATAGGAAGGGTTGTTTCACATTGTCAGAAGGTAACTCTAAAACAATCTTGAAAAAGGATCATACATTTTTGATGCATTGTGGAAAAGAAGGTCAACCTAACCGGCTTACACAGAGTTTCTGGTGAGCCCTAGTAAGAAGGGAGGGATTGAACTGTGTAAGAGTTCAGTGGTGAACCCCATGGGAATGTAAACATAATCAGGGACTTACGTCAGCATAGTTTGAGCTACCTGGATTTGCTCAGCCTTTTTCCCAGAAATACCCAAAGGTAAGGCTTCAGGAGTTTACCTCATGGAAGGACAAAGGACTGCTTCCTCTAATTCCATGGCACTTTAGGAGGGCTTCTTTCTATAGGGATATTATTTTTTTCTTTTGTCTGAAGGTAAATCTGTACAATTTCATGGGAGCATGTCTATGCAACAGTTTAATCGATCTGCACATGAAAAAGTCTCTTATATCCTCATTGGCATGGCCTCTTTTAAAATATTATATACAAATAGGAAGTTGGAGTAAGGAAATCAAGATAGGCGATGGGATTGTACATTTGTTCTAAAAATCTATGGAAGATACTCTGTTTTTGTTTATTTTCATCTTCTAGATTTGAAGGAAGAGGCTCTTAGGGTGTCCTGATATACTCTGATGAAATGTCTGAGATGCATTCACTACACTTTTGAAAGTTCCTTCTCTGATAATATTTAGTACTTATTCCAGTATAATCCTAGGCCTCTCCTGGGTTGCGACTGGAGTTGTTTAAACAAACAAACCACCCCAACCACCACACCACCCACCAAAACTATTTTTAAATAATATTTGAAACACCCAACACTATTTTAAAATAATGTTTTTTAACATCTGCTGCTTGGCATTACCTATATTTTGTTTTTACTCTAGCGTACTTTGCTGTTACGGTATGTCTGTTGCCCCAGAGCTGCTGCCCCTGGTTCAACATTGCACCTAGGCAATTTTTATCCTAAGATACTGCTATGCAGAGCCCAGAGTCTGTGCCATTGCAGAAAGTCAAACTGTATTCCCAGTTCCTGGTTACTTTACTTTGTTTTGTTAATATAGCAAGGGAATTGCATTCTGTCGGTACAAACCTGGGTTTCAGCATGAGGTTTTCCTTGTGACTAATCCAGAGACACTAGTGCAAGCTCTTCGTATGGACATGTTGCATCAGCTTATAGTGAAGCTTGCAACAGTGCAGTTATTTTCTCTACACAAATGTTGTTACAGCATAGATTTTCCTAATATAGGTGGGCCGTTAGGAAGCTGGAGTAGGCTAACAGATATTTTTCAGGTCAGAAGGAATCAAACTGGAGAAACAGAAGAGGGGGAACCCTAGAAAACAGGAAATCCTGAGTGGTGACTGGTCATCATGCACCCTGTCAGAGAGCAAGTTAGGAGGAAGAAGCATCTGCATGTCTTATCAGCCACAGAAAACAAATTAGCCAGTAAGTGGGAACAAAATTTGCTGTAAATGAAAACAAAGTAAGATGAAATAGTAGCCACAGGTTAGATGATACTGCATTCCTGAGGTATTTTTTTCCCTAGTTGGAAGAGGAAGAGACTAGTTTGGTTTTCGGTTATTTTTGCTTTTAAATAAGTTTTCTTGTTTAATGCATTTATCTTTTCTCTTTTAGCTTCAGCAGTTGATACAGACACTGCAGATACAGCAGCAGAAACCTCAACCTTCACTACTTCAAGCCTTGGATGCTGGTCTTGTTGTTCAGTTACAAGCCCTCACAGCACAACTTACAGCTGCAGCTGCTGCTGCTAACACACTCAATCCACTGGAACAGAGTGTGTCTTTTAATAAGGTAGAAGTAGAATAATAGAAATTTGAAGAAATATTTATTGTTAAAATATATGTAAGTGAAAGAGTCTTCTTTTGGATTTTACAGTTTGGCTTAAAGATTTTTAAAATACATGAGTATACTAAGAAGTGCTCTATCTTGAAAATATAAAAAAAAAGTCTAGAGAGTAGTATAAATGAAAATATTAGTTATATATGAGTTTAGGGCTAAATGGCATTTTATAGACTATCTCGACCTCGACTTGGAAGGGACCCATAAGGGTCGTGGAATATGAAGATGGAGTTGATTTAGGAAAGTTAAGCCATTGTTACATGTTGTTCTTCACCCTTTGTAACACAGCGGTGAGACATTGAGCATGTCTTGTATTGCTGCTTCCTGTGTTTATGATCTCGGGTAGGAAATGATTTCTTAGAAGGTAATGCGTAATGAAAGGGAAACTTGCACAAATTTACATACTCTGTTTTCCCTTGTAATAAATTGTAATTTTCTTACATTATAGATGCCAAGAAAATATCTGATCTTAGCCACAAAGTGATAGTAAGTGAAGAAACAAGTTTGCGACTGTAGTGAAAAATTAGTCATGTGACGCTTTTTAAAGGATGTCAAAATGTAAAAAAACAAACAAACCCTGTAGGCAGAGAAACTTTGCGTGTGTTGCAACATATATGCCTATCTTAAATACAGAATGCAGGAATTTAAGACAACTGATATAGTTGAATGCTAGGGAGCGATAACCATACTGGCAATTACAGTAGTAGCAGTTGTATAACAGTAGAATAAAAAAGGAAGAACTTGTACCCAAAGAATAATGAATAAATAAATAAATCTTGTTCTGTTGTCTTAGAAGAAACAGCTTGTGAGTAGACAATCTCTGCAGGATTGTCCTGGAGTGACCAAATAATAAGGAAGTCAGAGAAGCAAAAACCTTTTTTTTCCTAACCCAGATAATCTCTTTTTGAGGCAGTTAGCTGCTCAGAACTTGACATGTGCTGAGTTTAAAGTTTTAGGACAATTTATCTTGTATTTCTAGAAATTGTGCAGCTAAATTCAAATCTCTGAAATAATAAAGAGTTGTCATGACTAATGAAAGTAATGCAGCTGCAAAAATAAGTCAGGAAAATACTGGCCTGTACTCATGCTGTATCACAGCTGTAACCATCAACTCGAGTAGGATGTAATCACAGGCAATTAATGCATCAGTTAATAGAGACTACCTTAATATTTAGATACAAAAAGTAATTAAGAATATGGCATTGTATTGTGGTTTATTCAGCAGACTTAAATTCCAACATTTATATGGATAGCTGTGCTCATAGGTGTGGCTGTCTTGAGTGTTGGACAGCTTAACTGGAGCAAGTTGAAGTAATTGGCATTCTGATGAGATGTTTATATGCCTTGAGTGAGTTCAGCCTGATGCTCTTTAGTTAGTTTATGCTAGTAATAGTATTCAGGAGTCGTGTTGTCATGAAAGTTGTCAGCAGAGTGAAAGTACATGATTGTAATTTCTGGGACTTTCAAGGTAAATGTTGTGGAAGGAATTCTCGTGACAGTGTGATAATTTACAAGCTTTTCATGGTATATAGTGTTGAATTGTTCTTGTAAGCTGTGGAAGAGTTGTGTTTATAGTATGTGAAGTACCTCAGTTCTGCATTATACGAGTAGTGTTAGATTGTAATACATCTCAAATTCCCTGTACAGTGTTCTATAGCATCTCTGTGAATGAACCAATGATGTATATCTTGTTAGTCCACTGAGGCTTTCACTCAAAGGTTATTTAGGCTGCTTTTCCTCCTTTTTTTTTTTTTTTTTTTTTAAAATAAAAAAAAAACCCAACAACCTTTTTTTTTTTTTTTTTTTAAATATAACATTAGCACGATCATACCTATTTTTTCCTTTTTCTGAGGTTTGAGATTTCTGGATCTGGATATTGTAGAAGAGTACGTATTCATATATATATGTAGTAATGGGCAATCTTATTTATGCAGTTATAAGTTTTGGGGATAATAATTTTCCTTGCTTTTCTAATAGTTTCTCAGCACTGATGTAATCTGCCACCTGAATCCCACTTCTCAATAGTTGAAGACTGTGAGTCATAAGGATGTAGTTCTATTTATTAGACTTTGTACTTCCTTTTATTACATAATTAATCGTATAATTTTTTTTTACTAGATGTGGCAGCCTTAATAAACAAAGTGTTAGAAAGGCAGTATTTACTTGTATAGGAAGCACCTACATCAGTGTTTTCGTTTGAATCAGAAGCATGCTTTTGGGGTTAAACTTAATTGTTTACATGTACTGCACATCGTTTCACATGGTAGGGCAATCTTGAATGCGTAAAGTAGATTCATTTGCAGTAAGATAAAGCCCAAGACAGCTGCAGCTGCTAATGAGCACTCAGTCGACGGGGCCGGACTGGAGCTGCTTCAGAGTAACTAGTAACAAAGTCCAAATAGCAGGCCCAAATAAAAACTATAAACCAGACTTTTTAAGAGGAAAAGTTTTGGGAATGCTTTGCTTCCCGACGGCAAATCTAGATCTTTGTTAGTGATCTTCCAGGATGCTCTGAAGTGCTAGAGTTTTTGTATGCATTTTAGAGAGCTTGTAAGTTTTATATTTCACAAAAACTGCCTCAGTCACAAGTGGCGATACTGTTAAGCGATACAAGTATCAAAAAACAAGGTATCAGAACAATGCAATGAACAGCAACACTAGACTGTTAACTGCCTTTGTTTGAGTACCAGACATACAGTTGCTTAATCCTTGGGGTTCTAGTCTTTGTAAGAAAACCAGTTGTTAACAAGTATACTTAGAAGAACAGAGCATGAGCCAGCAGAGTGTCCTGGCTGCAAAGAGGGCCAACAACATCCTGGGCTGTGCGACCAGGAGTGTAGCCAGGTGACTGATGGAAATAATTGTCCCAGCTCGACATCCCGTCTACTCTAGGCTGCATCTGGAGTATCACATCCAGCTTTGCCACCCTTGCCCCTGTACAGGAAGGACATTGACAAACTGGAGTGAATTTAGTGGAGGACCACCAAAATGGTCAGGACTGGAGCACTCGCTCTCTGAGGGACTGGACCTGGTTCAGCCTGGGACAGAGGCAGCTTTGGGGAAGGCCTAAAAGCAACCCCTCCCAGCACCCATGGGAAGGCCAGCAAGAAGAAGATGCCAGGCTCTTCACAGCATGGCATAGCAACAGGATTATAGACAACAGACAGAAACTGAAACGAAAGGGCTTTGAGTGAGTATATGGAAAACCTTCTTCCCCTTAAGGACAGTCAAGCACTCAAATACGTTGCTTAGAAAGATTGTGCAGTCTCAGTTTTAGAACCTAAGATGTTTCCAAGACTCAGCTGAATGAAGCCCTGAGTAACCCTGTCTGAGCTCACAGCTAAGCTTGCTGTGAGCAGAAAGTTGGACTGAGACCTATTGAGGTCCCTTTCAACCTGGACTGTCCTGTGATCATAAGGTTTATGGAGAACGGGGCCGAAGAGATACCGTCATCTGGTGGAAGCTGACGAAGTATTCTTACCTGAGGTGCAGTGACCAATCCTGAACAGCTTAAAAAAGCTGCAGCGCAAAATAAGACAATCTAGCCATTCCTGAAAGCAGTGATTAAAAATATTGAGTAGTTTCTATAGAAGATACTGAACAGACTTGTGATGGAGTTTAGAGAACTGAGGATGGGGCCGTGATGTGGATGTAGAAGTACTTACGTGGTTGAAGGCAGTGTCCAAAAGGCAAACATTCTGAGTTGGCAGACATAAAAAAAAGACAGCTTTTATGTTAAAAAAACAGTACGCATTGAGATCCAAAGACAACTGTGAAGCTTAGTTCTCATTCCATGATATAATGATGGTGAATTAGATAGCAAATATAAATAGTGCAGGAAAATATTTCTGATGAATGTGAAAGTATCTGTCTTTTAAAAAAAAAAATCAATATTTTTAATAAATTCAGTAGTTCTTCCAGTCTTTAGTTTTCAAGCTCTTCAGTCTTTGTAGTAACTTGTGGTAATAAGTTGAGCAAATTACTGTGCGTCACATGAAAAATTCCTTACTTTTGTCAACATCAAATGTGTGTGTTTTGTGATCTTGCTACATGACCATATCCTTGTGTTATGTCTTTCTTTAGAAAGATTTTTTGATCAACATTTCCTATACATTTATATCCTATTCCTTGTATTTTAATTTCTAAAGAGAGTATACTGATACTTCAGAAGAATTTTGTTTCCTTTGGAATAAAAAGCATTTTTCATGTCTTTAATTTTTCCCATTGCTTTTTCTAAACATATTGTGTCCTTAGGTAATTAAAGTAACAGTTGTAGTATTCATGGAAAGTTTTATACTTTTATATGCATGTATGTGGTGGGTTAACCTGGGTATCCTAATATTTAATTTGTTTTATATTGCTTTATTGTAGAGAGTATTCCATTACAATTTATTTAAAAATCAAGATATTTCAGTTCAGATTTTTCCCTTTAATATCTACTATGTTATTTAAAACAAATTTAAACAAAAATCATGCTACACATTTGCCTATCTTGGCTGGAAGTTCTTGGATTTTCTCTGGCACCAGTTTAACTAAATGATTTTTTGCATGTCTTAAATTGTTGACTACTTTCCATTTTTTCCTTTTCTCTGGTGATAAAATAGTACATATTCTGTTATCTTCCTTTCTACTTTGTCATGATGGAAGATACATGGTGATTAATAATATTTTAAACATGAGATTCTTGGTTTTCTAAAATGCATGTTTTTTTCAGAGCAGCGGCATTTTGCAAATGCTTTACTTGAAAATATTGTAACAGTATAAAAAAAGCGTGGCAACCACCTTGCTTTAAATGGATTAAATATATATGGTGGAAGTTATTCTCGGTTTTAGCATCCCATCTCACATAAACTGCTGTGTTTTCTCAGAGATGTATTCAATCCTGATTTCATATGTGTTAGATTATTTCATTGCGAAAATAGTTTTAAAAATTCTTTGTTCTTCTTGCTGGACTCCAGTAGTTGGGGAGTATATACAGCATTCTGAGAAAGAAAATGGGCTACTGAATCATCATGGCATGTTACTGGAGGAGATTTTGCCTTGGTATTTCAAAAGGACTGCCCTATGTGTTCTCATTCTCTTGGGTTTTTTCCTCTGAGACAAGGATTTGAGAAGTTATGGCAGTTTGTAGTACAAAGTTAACTCTGCTTTTTAGAAAAATTCCAAGGTGTAAAGACCCATGGACAAGGGTTTGATAGCACCGCTCTATCAATAGTTACTTAAAAAAGACAACTTCAGTTACAAATAACGTTTGTTGTATTTCTTCATGCTTGTTCTTTGGTTTTTGTCTTCAAGAAAGTAAAATGCTACGGAAATGGTTCTGGGCTGTTTGAAAACTAGTAAGCAAAACAAACTTTTTTAGTTCAGGAGAACTACAGCGTAGACATCTTTACAGAAGAAACAGGAAGTTTATCTAGATTTTTCTTTTTCACTCTCAGATACCTTTCTTTTTATCCTTCTGGAAGCTTATTCCTCTTACATGATAACTGCTTGCTTTGATTTTTCACAGACTATGTGAGAAGTTGTTTTCAAGGAGCAGCATGTTTGAATGAATTCAGGTTGTCTAAATTACACATGTATGTGAAAATACAGTAATTCTTTGTGACGTAATCAAGCTGTAGGTCTTCTCTTGATATGGGCAGAGCAGTTTACTGATTGTCAAAGGATTGAATAGTTGGCCTCTTTGTGGTAATTTGTTCTAATTAAAGGTACTATTACATAAAATTAGTCTTTATTTAAGCCTTCCTCCAAACTAGCTGTTATTTACTATGGAAAGAACACGTGGTTGTGCTTGTAACAGCAGCCAGAGCTCGAGAAAGCCATGGATAAAATTTGTATTTGATGCATTCAAGAGTTTGGTAGCAATAGCAGTATGACATTTAATTTTCTATTCAGGTTATTTGCCACACTTCTTTTTTTCTGTTAAGTTGAGAAATAAGACCTTTTTTTTTTTTTTAACAAGTAAATAAAGTGACCTATAAGGAGTAGTCATTAATGCCTGTTTTGCTTTTTCCTAGAAGCTGATGGACAGGTTCGACTTTGGGGAAGAATCTGAACAAAATGAAGAGCCTAAAAAGGAAACGCCCACTTCCCAACTGTAAGATCAAGCTATGTTTCTTATGGAAAGTGCTAAAGTTTGACTGACACTAGTTGAACATTAGGATTAAATAGTAAGGAAAGTGTTGCTTCTTTCAGAGCAGAAGTATACTAAAACAGTAGGAAGAGAAAAGACAGTTTACTAAATTAATGAAACATACACATTTTTAAAATATTTAATATACGTCCGTGTGCCAGAAGTTTTGTTGGCTTCATCTTAAAGTTAGAATGTTCTTTGCTTTGTTAATTATATTCATAGTGTTAATGTGATAGTGATGATGACAGAAGGTGGAACTAGCTACATGGTCTTCATTATTCTACATTTTTAGTTAAACTTGAAACTCAGTTGTGAAGACCTGTTTACCAACTGTTTAAACCAAGAGGAAAAGTTGTGGGTTTTTTATTTAAATTATTTCGTTTTAGGCCTTTAGTACCAGAATCTGTGAACAACTCACTTTTTCACCAACTAGCTGAACAGCTACAGCAACAAAATTTAGAACATCTTAGACAACAGCTTCTTGAGCAACAGCAGCCTCAAAAGGTAAGAACTCCATCTTGTGGCTGTTTTAATTATTATGTTCTCCACTGATAAAAAATTCATGCTGTACTTCAGGAAAAAATAATTGTTACTGACAATTCTCTTACAATGAAAGTCTTTGTCATTAGCTGATCATCTAATAGAAGCTTGCAGTGTAAGTGGAATAAGCGGAAGAAAGTGCTCAAAGCAGAAAAAAACCCCACAACCAAATGTATGGGGTGTACATTTTGCTTCTCTTGGGGAACGGTACCCTTTAGCTGAGTTACAGACTGACTGTGCATTGGTGGCTCAGCTTTTTATATGGGGAAAAAAAAGCTTTTTCCCTGCTATCAGAAAGAAGGTGAGCACTGAAGTGATTTTGCTCCTGTCTGTGAAGAGAGAAGCATGCAAGCTGCTGCTGCACAACCATAAAGAGGACAGAATATAAATGGCAGATAACTTTAATTTCCCCTACCAAGCTTTAAATCTTGGCTAATAAATGTCTCGTTCTGTTGAAGAATCTGAGCTAAAGAACAGTCACGTATTTCCTGAGAAAGTATTAATTAACAACTGATGCTTGAGACAACCCAGGATTCCTTCTTAACTGTGTGAATTGGGTCCTCTCTACCCTACATTGAAGTAAATTGGCTTCTTTCTTCTGAGGTTAGTCCTCAGTATTTAGCTCTTCTTTTCCCCTCTTGATCCCAATTCCTGATCTGATTAGAAAACAAACAAAAGTTTATTCTGTCTTGACACTGACCAGATACAAGTTGGACTTTCTGTGAAGTATTTAGATCGAGTTTCACAGTAAAATAGAAATCTTAGATTTAAAGAAAATCTGAGGGATCACAACCTTAAAAATCTGTTGGGGATTTTAGTTTAACCTGTGCAAAGGTGCAGTCGCTCAGCTTTCAATCAAGAATGTCATTTGAGTTTTCAATTTGTGACTTTGAGTTTTGAATCGTTTAGAAAAATAGTAATTTAATTTTTACTATGTATTATTTTCATATTCTACTGCTTTATTTTACAATGTTTTATTTTCATTTCTCATTTAAGTGCAGTAACTGAGAAAGTTTGTACAAGATAACTACAAACTAAATAGTTTTTGATGTTGGTGGATATCTAGCAATTTCTGGCTTTCAACACCAAAAAAAATTGTAAAGGAATATAGCTTTGAAGAGTGCATCTCTTTTAGGAGCTTTTGATGTGACATATTTAAAAGTAACTATTGAATTTGAAAATAAAAATGCTGAATACCTGCCTTATTGTAAAATAAGCAGAATTAAATTAATTTCATCTATGAAATTAAGTTACAGTACATTTATGGGTAGAATGTTCATATGACTCACCCCTTGTTATTTGATATTCTATTCCAAGTTCAGAAGTAGTTTTCCTTCAGTTCCACTCAAATTCTTGTCTAGCCAGTACGGAGTGGAAGAAGTTCTATTTTCACCTTGATAGCAGCTAAAAGATGCAAACTTCTGCTGGATCTAGTTTGTAATGAGTGCAGTGTGTTATGAAGAAGATTTACTTTAATTCCATGTTTAATCATCAGTCAGAAAGATTAAGGGAAA